GTAGTTAATGTGATAATGTATTAATCTATATCATTATTATCTATGTAATTATTAATCTATATTACAATAATTGAGTAAAAGTAAATATTAAGGATGTATAGTCATACTTTAAAATTACTAATACGTATGTGTAAGCATGTGTAAGCATAAAATTATTATATTTACGTTAATGGAATTAATAGAAATTGATAGTTTATGTGAATAGAACAAATGAATTTATTTATACGTGAGTGAACAAAAATTATTAATATTATCTAGTAAAATATAATTACAATAGTTATAGGTGTAGGTGAACGTATTAAGTAAACAAATGAGAATTCACCTTCATAAGTACCCCAAATTTCAAATTTTCTATGCGACAATTTATTCGATTTTGGTAAATCATGCATTATTCATAATTAATGACTAACGATTGTAAACAATTACCATCGATCATGGCTAATGATTATTTGGTAATCGTAACTGAGAATTACCGTATAATTGTGTCTAATGAAAGTATTTTTGTCTAACGTGACTAACAAAAGTAATTACGTTTGACAAATCTTCTGTAACTAATGACTAACTTATTCTGATCAATGGTCAATCATAATTCTAGTTATTCAATTTTGTCGAAAAGTGCCCAACTCTGGTGTGAACGACCGATTGTTGGAAGCTTTGTTTAAATAAAACTTCCTTCAAGATATAAACAATACTACGCAAAAAAAAACAATGAGACATTTAACGATCTCGATTTTAATTTCTGAATGAATTATTCAACGAAATCCACTGCACTTTTGAAGCAATTGTTTCAGCGGGGAACATCGGTATGAAAGAATTCTATATCAAATATTAAATATGTAAACCAGACGCTCGCGGACAACTTTAAACTTGAATCCCTATTACTTATTCATCGCAGTTTTGCAGGGTGAAAAAGAGTGGAAATTTGCTCTGAACTTGCGATGATGGAATTATAATTCGTACACGCGAAATAATGGAATTTTCGGAAACGAATAACGTGCTACTTCAGAATTAAGTACAAGTTAAGGGGTATTAACAAATGTTGTTTAAATGGTTCGTTAATATGGAACATCTAAAGATAAAAAACAATGCGGCATATATAAAACGTATACAGAGTGCTTCAAACGAACAAAGAAGTTCAAATACAGAATAAATTTAAACTGAAAGTATCATTGCTCTGTTGCCGTTTAAATACAGGACAAAAGGAACTCGAAATTAAATTTCGTCAAAGCTTGTTTGAATCTCATAAAAGCTATAATATACAGTAATTTCTTTCCAATTCGCGCTCAGATTGCGCGCAAAAATGGACAATTTGAAAAGAGGAGATACGATTATTCGAGTCTTGCAGCTTGTTTTTGTAGTTGTTAACAATTGTTAACTATAAAAACGAGTCACAAGGTTCGAATAATCGCGAATTAGGGGGAAGTCACTGTATTCATAATAAATCATCAACAAGCATGTTTTATTTTAAGTGATCAAAATATTTTTGATAGAATATTTAGTTTTTAAACACTTGTTTTATGATATAAAATTTTGATTTTTAACATAGAAGGTGTTCAACGAGGCCTTCCATATTTTATGAAACATTTTTATAACATTTATAGAACAACAAATTGATCCATTCAATTACTAAGGTCTTTACTATAACGAATTACAGTAAATTCTCTCCAATTGTCCCTCAGCTTGTAAACAAAAATGGACAATTTGGGAAGAGGAGATACGATTATTCGTGCCTCGCGGCTCGTTTTTATAGTTATTAACATTCGGCAGTTATAAGAACGAGCTGTGAGACTCGAATAATCGTATCTCCTCTTCCCAAACCGTTCCTTTTCGTTTACAAACTCGGGGACAATTAGAGACAATTTACTGTAATTTTATTCATAACGGGTTTAAGCAACTTTAAATGGAAATTTAATTTTATATAAAAATTGCTTAGTCGATTGACTTTCAGAAAAATGTAGACTATAAAACATCTGCATTTTAAGAAAGTTTTTGTCGTCGATCATAAAAAAAGGGTTATCAATTTGTAGCGAGGAGGTTTGTCATCATTGATCTACGCAGAAGGATTCCAAGTACTTTAATCTTCTCTTTTATTTGATGACAAAATGAAGTGGTGTAACATAAGTACATGAAGTTATAAAAGTATTTTTTCCAAATAATGGTTTCGTATATGCGAGAGCAAACGCGAGCCTTGATATTCAAATCATGATAAAAACTAATAATGAAATATGCGTATAGATACTTAATTCGATGAAGATTGGTAGACATCAATATGGCAGTGGAGCTGGTTACTGTGGAGTGACCAATTGCTGTGCCGTTAATTTGTCTTCGGGCATAATTAATTTTATATTTATCGAATAAGAGACGTATCAACTATTTTTATCAAAAAATAAACGAAAGAAAAGAATAACAAAATTTAATATATCTTGTTCGATAGATACAAAGTTAATTGTGCCCGAAAACAGACCAAACGCACAGTAATTGGTTAGCCCCACAGTAACCGGCTCCACTACCCTAATCGATCGCACGCGAGTAAGATTTGTTTCTGCGAAACCATCGAAGTTTCCCGAATATAACGGCGAGCATATTTTACGCAGGGTCCTCTACTAAGTTCTATTAAGTACATACTGAATTTCGTTCGAAGAATTGCTTTTGTAATGATCCTCTTAAAGTTCAGCTTCCGTTTGCAAGTGGCACGCGAGGCGTCGGAGTGACCGTGTTTGTCTCCAAAAATAGAGGCATCGTGGAAATACCTGGAAAGACAAAGGCCTGAAGTTGACGTACTTTCGAAGTCCGACCGGTACAGGAAGAAACATCGGCGGAGCAGAAACACTGCCGTGCAGCGACGCAGAAACAGTCACTTTCAATTGGGCCAAGAACAATGTTGAATCAGCGCTGCCAACCCCTCCCCTCGATGCAGTTCTTTCTCGCGCAACGCTTCAACCCCCTTTCTACTTTCCCCACCCCTCATTTTCCCGTTTTTCTCTTGTTCGCGCACACACTCTGCCACGCTCATTCTTTAGCGATAATATAAAAGTTCGTATTGTATTGCAGTGCCGTGTCACGACACTGTCCAACGTCGTCACGGAGCCCCGCTACGCCCGTTTCGCGCCTTTCCGGGACGCAATGGCAGGCCTTCCGCCAGGCCTTCATCTGAGCACCTGTTGTATTCGGTCGAGGAGAACGGACAGGAGAAGAAGCAACGATCTGCCGACGCCGACCATACTCGCTGCGCTTCCGTGATGCAGCTCGGCTAAGCTTTCTCCTGAAACATTGGTACGTACACTCAAACACTGTCGCCATTAGACGAAGCTTTCTTTCATTGCATTCACAATTTTTAAGGATTCTTATGGATTCTTATGGATTCTTATGGATTCTTATGGATTCTTATGGATTCCTATGGACTCTTGTGGGTTCTTATGGATTCTTAACCTGTTAACCGTGTTAATTATAACGAAATTTTTCGTCGTGTCAGGACGATAACATCAATAGGCATGACGATCTTTTTCGTCAGTGAAATTTTTAAAGGTATAGTAAATTCTCCCCAATTGTCACTTAGCTTGTAAACAAAAATGGACAACTTGGAAAGAGAGGATTCCGTAATTCGAGCCTCGCGCCTCGATTTTGATTTTTAACATAGAAAGTTTTCAACGACCTCTCCCATTTTTTATGAAACATTTGAATAACATTTATAGAACAAACTGATCTATTCAATCTCTAGGTCCTCACTATATAATGAATTACAGTAAATTCTCTCCAATTGTCGCTCAGCTTGTAAGCAAAAATGGACAACTTGGAAAGAGAGGATTCGGTAATTCGCGCTTCAATTATGATTTTTAACATAGAAAGTTTTCAACGAGGTCTCCCATTCTTTATGAAACATTTGAATAACATTTATAGAACAAACTGATCCATTCAATCTCTACTATAATGAATTACAGTAAATTCTCTCCAATTGTTTCTTAGCTTGTAAACAAAGATGGACAACTTAGAAAGAGAGGATTCGGTAATTCGAGCCTCGCGCTTCAATTATGATTTTTAACATAGAAAGTTTTCAACGAGGTCTCCCATTCTTTATGAAACATTTGAATAACATTTATAGAACAAACTGATCCATTCAATCTCTAGGTCCTTACTATAATAAATTACAGTAAATTCTCTCCGATTGTCTCTCAGCTTGTAAACAAAAATGGATAACTTGGGAAGAGAAGATTCGATAGTTCGAGCCTCGCGCCTCAGTTTTATAGTTATTGACAATCGACAACTATAAAAACGAGCCGCAAGGATCGAATTATCGTATCCCCTCTTCCTAAATTTGTCATTTTTGTTTACAAGCTGGACGAGAGAGAGAGAGAGAGAGAGAGAGAGAGAGAGAGAGAGACAATTGGGGAGAATTTACTGTAACATGTAAGAGTTATTGAAATTAAATGTCACATCTTTCAACAGATGGCACTGTTAAACGGTTTGATTGTTATTTGTTATATATCACACACGTCACCATTAATGATAAACAAATCGTCATGGAACGTTGCACTATGCAGCAACGTGGGCAAATTGTTGCAAATTATTATAAACATTCAATGGACGCCTGATTTCTCGAGGAGGAGACATCAAATGGCCCCTAAGATCACGCGATGTAACCTCGTTAGATTTTTTCCTATGGAGTTTTTTAAAAAGTGAAGTTTACGTCGATAAACCACAAAGGATCGACGAGCTAAAAAACAATATTACAGCTCCCATTAATGATATAGCACGCCGATTATGTAATAGTGTAATGGAAAATTGGGTGGAACGAGACGGATTTGTGAAAAAAAGCCAAGACGATTGTTTGAACGACATTGTATTCTACGATGAATGTTATGCAATGGACTTTATATTTGTTCCGTCGCACACACGTGGAGTCTTCGTCGACTGGGTTCATGACACGGACGCGACAAAAGGCTATTTTTGAGATCTTTTTAACATTTAACGACCATTCGATGTCCAACCTTTCGTTTCATCTTTCTCAATAGCCGTGACGTGTCATAAACTCGGCACTTCCGAAAGGTCTCCCGAAACCGTAACAGCATTCAAGGCTATAGACGGTTGACCTTGAGGATGCTCGCAACGTTGCCAAGGTCTTCGAAGATTCTACGTTCATGCAGGTACCACTCCTACCCTTACCAAGAGCAGGTGGGGATCGTCATACGGACTCCCGAAAAAACGAGACGACTCATCAGAAGGCATTATGAACTTCTCGCGTTCGCTTCGAACTGGATTCATTCGACGGTCTCGCGATCGATCAGAGTAAAGAGTCGCATCGAACGTCTCGCGAACTCTTACATTAGCAATTCGGAAATAGTCCATCGTTCGGGACAACCTCTTCTCCATTAGTCGAGAACATACGATTACAATAATTGTACGCGCAATTACCGCTCCGCCGATCGGATCCAATTGCCGAAGATTAATTTGGCGGGCAATTAATCAGCGACACATGAATGAAAATGCGTCCACAATCGGTTCAATCCGGATCTTACAACCTCGGATGGGTTCAGAAACCCGCGCGCTAATTTCTGTGCATCGCAACGTCAATTCAACATTAAACTAAGGAAACCTGAAATATCTCAAATAGTTTACGTTTTATTTCAATTTAATTCCGTGACATTGAATTTGGATAATCCTGAATGTGGAGTGCATTACGCTTTATGCCCTTCTTATACATTTATAATTAGCCCGACCATATGGTAACACTTCTAATTTGCACAGTTTAGTTTCAAACACCACTATAATGTTATTTATATCTAGTATACAAAGGATGTCAAGATATACTAAGACAATATATAATATATATATATATATATAATACTGTGGACGAGAAAAATCCAGATTCGAAGAGAAATTGGGTCACACAACTAAAGAGCAAACTCCAGAAGTTCTCTATCGACACCAACATGTCCTATACATCAGGCAGAGAGGATGCACTAATCAATATCCTAGCACAAATATACATCAAATTGTTTGAAACAGATAATCACAGAGTTAGCAACTCCATACATAGCGAAATTTACGAAGAAAATACGATAATAATAATAAATATAATAATAATAATAAATAATAATAATAAATATAAATGATAATGATAATAATAATAATAATAATAATAAATAGAATAATAAAAAGAATAATCGCACAAACTAGATTAGGGGGTAACATCACATGGAATATAGTCTTGTAATCATTGTGGATCAAGAATGCTTCATCTGCAACCTATGAAAACTAGGGGACAGGAGACATATTTTGATAACCTACCCTGTTTATAAGAAAATTCGATCACCTTCACTTAAGAGAGTTGCGAATAATAAATAGCGAAAGGCAGCCGTGGCAGTTAGCAAACTTTCTAAAAGCTACCACACGAAATTGAGAGCCTTCTGCATGGAAGAGTAAACCGAGGAACCAGTAAGAGCGCGCGGTACAATCAACATCCAGAATCAGTTAGAAATAAACGCTGCCAAGCTGTATTATATTAGAAAGAATTCAAAACAATTCTAAATACGCGTGTAAAATACTACTATATACCAAAGATTGCGACAGGCTTACGGTCTCAACGCAATAAATAAAACTTGACCTAACCTAACCTAGTTGTATTAGATAACATGGTATCAAAGTTTACTTGGAAACCTATGAAACTTCCTGTATGACCTTAATTAGTAAATGTAATTACTTCCTTTGATCATCTGCTTGTCTGGGACGTTCAGATACAAGATTTATACTATAAAAAATTGATCAATGTATATACTAATACCTATACGTGGTTGATATAGTCTTATTACGTGATCAGGGATATCTAAATTTAATTTTATTCATGAACGGACCAAAGGACCTTTCAAAACAAGCAGGGATACGTAGGAGATATAAGGACACGGAATATTGCTCGTTAAAGATCTCCTTATTCTGAGCGAAAAAGTTCATCCTGTCACGGTAGGTATTGCAAATAAAAAAGGTTTCTTTTAACTCCTTGAAGTCGAGGAGCCATTTTAACTCGATATTATAACAAAATTTTCGATTCGATTATTTTAACAAAATAGTTTCTCTGATTTGTAGTATTTTCATTTTCTACAATGTAATACGTTGTATATATGAAATTATGCTTTTAATAGTTCTTTAAATAAAAAGAAATTTTATGATGTTAAAATTATTTTGAATTGTGATATAACAATTTCTAGCGGTGCCCTAGAGTCGTCATTCGACTGAAAAGGGTTAAGTGGCTCGGTGTTGAATGTTGATGCACAGAACAATAGTGCACGAGTACTACGGAGCGCCGTACATTGAACAGGCTCCAATAAAAAGATATTCCTAAAAGTGACTTGGGACAAAATTTAAGGAATTTTACACATCGTTAATATTTGACTAAAATTTAATATTTTAACAGATATACGTCTTATTGAATTTAGAGTACATGTTATAGCCAAGCGTATAACACATTGTTTATATTGCAATATTGTTTTATATAGTGCATACAACAGATAAGAAAAAGGAATGAAAATAATACGATAAAATAAAAGTTAAAAATTAAGAAATGATAAAAGATAAAATTAATATTTTCGCGGATATGATACAAATTTGTATCCTACGTTAAGAAGGTTTACTATATGCAACAATATGCATCTGCGTGACAAGTTTCTTAACTTTTATCGGTAAATGTACAAGTTCCTGAAATAGGTAAGATTCGAGAAAGCGCAGCAACTTCTATTTATAAATCCTAATAATTTATTGGCGTTCGAGACCGCGATCTGAATGTGATGATCGAATGAAAGAGACTCGGCGAACCAAACGGCTGGCCTTTTACTATGGATTTTGTCTGTAAGGGCGTGTCTCGCAGCAAGTATGGGGGAACGTGACTGGAGATCTACTCCTAGAAAATCTGAGAGTGAAACGTTTATCAATATTATATTCCATCTCGTTACTCAAACATCAAGACTCCAAGTTATCGATATCGGCCTACAGATCGTAGCAGTAAGAAATGGAGGAAACTTCCCGATACATCTTCAGGTCGTCTGCAAGGAGGCGAGGTGTTCGCTGGAGTTAATGTCCAAAGTCGTTAACAAAAGTTAAGGATAATAGCCGACCAAGGTGGAATCCTAAGATGGGACACTAGCTATCTATAACTGGTGAAAAACAAAAATTTGTTGCATACTCTAATAATTCACTAGTAAATGCACACGTTTTACATTTCGAATAAAATGTTATAAATATTTGTATGCAGAGCTATTTACTCGATTTTCACCT